AGCCAGAGTTTTATTGCCTTCTTGAGGATGACCAGGAGGAAGTATCATGTAAACTTCTTCTTCCAAATCTCCGTGCAAGAAGGTATTTTTTACATCTAGGTGATACAAAGGTCAGTCATTGTTGGCAGCAATAGAAAGTAAAACCCTCACAGTATTCAATTTGACCACATGAGAAAAGGTTTTCTTGTAGTCAACACCATAGGTTTTGGTGAATCCCTTTGCAACAAGTCTCGTGTTGTATCCCTCAACAGTTCTATCACTTTTGTTTTCATTTTATAGACCCACTTGCATTCAAATGGTTTTTTCTCTTTAGGAAGAGTAACAATATCCCAAGTATGATTATTCTTTAAAACAACACATTCTTATTTCATAACCATCCTCCATATTGCATTTGAATTAACTTTTTCAAAGCTAGTGGGTCCTTTAGTTAAGGAAATTTTGGTAAAAAAAGCACAATATTTAGGAGACAATTTCTTAAAATCCATATGTTTTTAATGGGGTAATGAATTTTGTGATTGCTTTTATTGACATGATATGCATAGTAATCCTTTAAACCAGAGGAGGTTAACTAATATGATTAGATCGTCTTGGCTGAAAGTCTTGAGAAATTATTTCCCCTTGATATTTATTTGATTGAACCTCCACATTGGAGTATTGTTGTGTATCAAGAATGGATTCTTGAGGTATTTCCTGATTAGGTGTAGTACTCTTAATGATTTCGACTATGGAATTAAGACAATCAATTTTTTAGAGATATTGGGTAGAAGTTGTCTTGCTAATATCCCCTTGAAACTTATTAGTTCGAAAATAAGGAATTTGTTCATTGAATTCAACATTTCATGAGACATATATTCGCCTGGTTTTTGGGTCATGCTGTTTGTCACACTTTTTGTTAGGTGAATATCCAATGAGTATGCATTTAATGGATCATTTAGCAAGTTTGTCTCAATGATTTTTTGATAAATGCATAAAGCATGCACAACTAAAATATCTTTAAATGATCAACAGAGCAACCATGCCACATTTCATAGGAACTTCTATTATCCAAGATTCTAATTAGCATTCAATTTATAAGATGGCTAGCAATAAAAAAAAACTCAGACCAGTATGATTTAGGGACATTCATTTGAAAAAGTAAGGCAGGTGTTCCTTTAAGAAGATGCATGTTTTTCCTCTCGGCAATTTCATTTTGCAGAGGAGTTTCTATGTATGACATCTGATGAATGATCCCATGATCTATCAAATATGAAGAAAAAGATTTATTTGTATACTCTATGCCATTATCAGTTCTAAAAATTTCCACCCTAGCATAAAATTATTTTTTTATCATAGCATGAAATTCTTAAAGGCAATGAAGACATCACTCTTGAATTTCAATAGATAAATCTAAATATAATGAGTTTTATCATCGATAAAGGAAAGAACATATCTAAAACAAGGAAAAGAATCCATTGGAGCAAGTCCACATAAGTCCAAATGAATGATATCAAATTTATTTTTACTGATTCTATCATAATTTTTAAATAGAAAGACGGTTTGTTTAGCATAACGACATACCTCACAAGATGCAAAGGATGCATCAATATTAGAGACTACCTGCTTCAAAATTCTATCATATGAATGTCCCAATCTGCAATGCCATGTACTATCCTCGGATTGCACTTTTCTTGTAAAATTCTTGCTTTTTTTTTTAAGGTTTGATGCAATAGGTACAACCTATTTGATTGGTTGTCCTCACTAATTTTCTTCCAAGATACCCGATCCTAAAAGAAAACACTGTTAGCAGAAAAAATAGGCAAGCAATTAAAGGTTTTTGTGATTTGACTAACTGATAAAATATTTGAAGGGAAAGAAGGACTATATAAAATTTCAAATGGCTTATCCTTAGAAAAAAAAATTAATATTTCCTACTCTACAAACTGGTACTATAGTTCTTGCCCAATGACACATGATTCCTTGAAGACATCTTCAAACCCTTCGAGTCATTCACAATGGCCAGTCATATGATCTGTAGCTCCAGTATGAACAACCCAAGTATGACAATTAGTAGGGGATAGGTGAGCAGAAGTATAGGAAGGAAATTTCAGAAGCCACTAAGATTTGACTTTTAATGGCTTCATACTCAGGAGCAAGGTTTACCAACATAGCAAAAGTTTTACGGTGTTCCACTTCTCCTATTCTGCTATATATATCAACAATTATTGGTGGAGTATATTGGGACAACTTATCCCACATCCTCTAAGCATTTTAATGTACTCACTAAATGGCTTTCTTTATTGTTTAAATTGATATATATCTTGCTTGAGTTGAAAAATCCTAGTTGCATTTTTTCTTTCTCCATAAATCTCTTTAAGAGACCTCCATAAATCTTCAACAATAGGCTAGAAATACATCCCATCGTGGTTCCATTGAGTTTATAAGCCACAACCTGATGAGGTCATCCCCAGACTCCCACTCTTCATAAGTAGGATCATCGGGTTTTGGGGCTGCTCTTTTCCCATTTACAAAACCTAACTTACATTTGCTGTCGAGATACATGGTTGCATCTCTAGACCAAGTTTCATAATTGGTTCCGTTAAGAAACATGCGAGTAGTTTTCAGATTTGGGTTGTTGCCCCTCATGCATTACAATGTCCGAATCAGAATTTTGATCCCCATTTAGATGAAAAGGCTTAGAGATTACTTAATTTAAGGTAAAGATTACCTAGTTTCAAGAACGATTGCGTGGGTCAAGACTGTAGACAGCAAACACCTATGCAGCTACCTAAGAATTCACATAGCTTCTATATTGCCTTGCTGCCTGTAGCCAAGTAAACGACAAAGTTTCAAGAACGATTGCGTGGGTCATGACTGTAGACAGCAAACACCTATGCAGCTACCTAAGAATTCACGTAGCTTCTATATTGCCTTGCTGCCTGTAGCCAAGTAAAAACCACACACTGTTGCAAACGGAAGTGTTGCAAAGGACCACAAGTTGTTGCAAACGCTGCTGCAAACTGCTGCAAGGGCCACACGCTGCTGCAAACTGTAGCAAAGGGCCACATGTTGTTGCAAACTGCTGTAACCAAACTGCCACAAAGGGCCACACGCTAATGCAAACTATTGCAAAGGACCACCCATTGCTACAACGAAGGGCCACACGCTGCTACAACAAAGGGCCACACGCTGCCGCAACCAAAGGCCACACGCGACTGCAACAAACGCCACACACTGCTGGAGAAGGAGAGAAGAAGATAGCAGTTGCAGTTTTTGTAGAAAGATCTGAAAACTGATCAATGCTTTGATACGTGGCTCGACCTCTTGGACACAGCTTTTACGTGGCTCCATCTCTTGGACTTACATCTACTGTTGAAAGGCTATTCAATTGTGTCCATTATTTCATTCACCCAATATTAAATAGAAGATACAAGATTACAATAAAATAGAAACGGATTCTCCAAATATCTCTTAAATGTCTTGAAGATAATCTTCACATTTAGTACCTAAAATATGAATTTGGGTCCATGTATAATCTGTGTATCATATTTGAGTAGCTAGTTGTACACGGTTACAACTAGCTGTACACGATTTTCATTTCAACATATGGTTTCAGAGGAGCTCACATTGGTGCTTCCTAACCATGGCAATTGCCCAACAAGATGTAGAGAGAGAGAGAGGAGAGAGAAAGAGGGGGTCTGGTTACACCTATAATGGTATGAATATTGGGAACAATCAAACCAGATCAAATGCACCATCATATGCGCCACCTTTTTGTTGGCATAACAAAACGTGGTTGTGAAGTTAAAAAAAAATAAAAAATAAAAAATAAAATAAAATAAAATAAAATGAGGGCCAACAAGTCCATGCAATAGAAAAATGGATTATCTCCAAAAAGACTATTTATCTTATGTACATTGAAGTCGATATCATACTTGTCTCTTACAGTTCAAAATGGGTTATTGTAAGAGTGCCAAAGAAATATGCAAAAAATACCATAAAAATTTTTCGGACTTCATGATTTATTCCAAGCCATTCAATTTGACATCTAATGAAGGAAAATGATTGTGACCTCCAAGTACAAAAAATAAATGACATCTTTATAAATAATCTTTTAAAAAAACAAAAAAAAATACAAAAAAATGTGAAATTGAAAATTCGGAAAGAGAGAGGTTTGGAGTGAAAAATAAGAGCCGGGTTGGAGGTTTAGTGACAAAGAAGGGGGAATACCCTTGGACATTTATATTCCAAGGGTTTGCCTCTACCGGACCCCACCCTTCTCAGTCTTTCTTCTGACTTGTTACAAGGGTCTCTCTAGCATAGAGAAAGGGAGAAAGAGAGGGTTCTCTCCCAGTGAGCGAAAGAGAGTGAGCAAAGAGCGAGAGATCTACCGGGCTGGTTGTAGATACTCAGGTTGGGATGTAACAAACAGGACTTATGTATGAGAAAAATGAAGTGGGGCGAAGACGAGGACAATGAAGTTCGCATGACGAGGCCAGGTAAAACATGGAGTCTTTTCTCCACTGTCTTTTGTCCGGCAAAGAAAGACAGTAGAGAAATGTTGTTTGGAAAGTTTTGATTCCGTGGGTTTTGAGGAAGCAAATTTTACCAATTTGAGCTTCAAACGCGGTAGAGTGGACCAACATTTGTCTTTTGAAGAACACTCGCTCAATCAAACAAGCGCGTAGTGTTACTATTGCCAAAACTAGAGGTGAAAATGAGCCGGGGGCCCCAGATCAGTGTAAAAAACAAGGGCTTTGGCGACAAACGTGGCCCGTGAACCTGAGCCAGGATAGACCCAGCTCTTATATTTCCATTTTTTATGCATTGATTTCTTTTCATTTTACCTAGACCGGCCCTCAGCGGAATAGGGCCACGCTAAGGCCACAGCTGGCCCGCCCAGCTCCCCGCTGCTGGGACTAGCGAAAACCTCTTGGAACTAGGACCATAAGTAATCCTAAGAAAATTACCCAGGTCCCCTGGTACACATGGAAACCACCTGGTGCGATGCTATGGTAGCAATAAAAAAATAAAAACCAAAATCTCACTATTCCTTCAAAATTGATTAACAAAGAGAACAACTTACACAGGGTGAGAGCGATTCGCTGCCTATTAACTCAACTCAAAGACCAATTCCATGGAATCATTCTCTATAAGTAAAATGAATCCCATGAAACTGTACTCTAGAAGTAAAATGATTATTTTCAATAACTTTATCTCGAGATATTTGGGGCGTCAATATTCTCTGTTCTTTCATTCATTCATTTCCTCTTATTTTGCAGGCCCATATGTAATTATTTCCGCAGAGCCCAATTTACGCAGCTTCTTTGTGAGAGCGACAGGGTCCATTTCGCCCACAACTGTAATTTTCTGCTCCTTTAAGTCCACAACAATGGAATCAATCCCTGCAGGTAAAAAAAAAAACAAATCAATATAACTATTTTATGGTGAAAATTTAAATATGAAATTAAAAAATAATTAATAGTACGTTTGGTCACTTGTTGAAGTGTACCGAAGATCGGCCTCCATTAGGGAACACGTCCCCTAAGAAGCCATGTGTCCAGCACAGGGCTATAAAAAAAAAAATTACAAAATTTTTAAAATTTTTCAGTTTTTGACTTTTTAATACCCAGAATTGTCACACATCTCGGGGATACTCAGCCTTGCGAATAACTCAGCCAGTCCCAATCAAATATTAAATATAACAAGTGTTGCATAGAGTGATATATTATCATCATTTTATTTTAGGAAAATGAGAAAATGAAAACCAAAATTGCGATTAAAAATTACCATATAATTCGGCTACAGTCCCCATAGCTTTTTGCTTTGTTGCCTCATCAGTCATGGCGAACACTCTCACTATCAATTTCTTCTGTTCATAACAACACAATAAAAATAAAGTTTTCATTCTCTAAACCACATAGTGCGGCACAAAAAAACTAAATAATGTCGGCCAAAGTCCTGTAACTCGCTCCAGCTCGGGACTCGGGCCCTGCCCAAGCCAAGGCAGTCGGACGAATGGCCACAGTCCTGTAACTCGGCTCCAGGTCAGGACTCAGGCCGCGCCCAAGCCAAGGAAGTCGGCCGAGTCCAACCTACGGAGTCCAAATCCGAGTAGTATATAGGGTAAAAAATAAATAAATAAATATATATAATAATAAAGGAAAAACCTAAACAAGCTGAAATGTTTTGTCCCTGCCGGGGACTTGCTATATCTATGGTGGTTTATTGAATGGACCTGCAACGGATGCAGCGGATGAAGCGTCGTCTGTTGCGGTCCCATATAATTTTTTAACCGCTACAAATGTAGTATGTCCGCGACAGAACCATCACAGACATGCTAGGTGAATCGAAAAACGCATGCCACCCGATTTTTTTGAACGAGCCAGAAGAAAAAAAATTAGATAAATAGTAAATTAAACTAAACTAATACTAATATTAGAAGTCTAAATAAGATGGAAAAACATATGTAAAATATGGATTAAAAAAAATTGATTTCAAGCTGGAGATATCTTAGAAATATCCAAAAAAGAAAAATATAAATTAGAGGCTTTTTCAACATCAAAACACCTTTCTTCCATGGATTCTTGATGTGCATATTTACTTCTACATTTTAAGGTTGCAACTTTATATAAACTTTTTGTTAGTATTCACTACAAATGGGACCCAAATTAAAAAAATAAAAAACAGTAAAACAAAGTCAATATTTTTTTTATAATATGCTGCTCCTCTGGCAAAATTTACAGCAATTCATGCTATGTTTACATCAAACAGGTCATGAAACTCAGATTCATAACAGTAAGGAATTTAAATTTGAACGATGCAGCCATCAAGAAAATGGCTAAGGAAAATCTTTCTGGGGAATTCAAAATAGAGAAAAATACCTGTTTCATCATTACTAAAATGCAGACCTGATTTCATGGAAAATTTTGCAATTAAAAAGAAAAACTGCCCAAGAGAAATATGCAATTTCCTTTTTCTTGGACCATAAATTGCCCCAGAGAAGAATCTTAGAATTGAAAATGAAAGGATTACTAAACCTTCACCTGATCCAATACAACTCAAATCAAGACGAAAAAAAAAAGGGATCAGGGAAACTGCTGAAATCGATAAAAAAAAAAAATTAAAAGTAAATTAAATAATCAAAGGAAACCTCACCTGAGCCATGACCAAGATTCGCAACAAACAAATCGGCAATTTATATATAACGAAGTTGATAAGGCCAATAATGCTTTCAGATTTGTAGCTCAGCAAACTTGTTGAGCAAGAATTGTAGAGTAGTAAAGTATTTATAGAGGGGCTTTGGTTATGAAAACTACACATTTTTGGTAGACACACCCTGTACAACGTTGGTGTCATTTGTAAAGTTGGGTGTTATTATTAAAATTCAAGATGTAGAAGCTAGAGCTGCTTTTTGTGATGCCTTTGAAAAGGAAAAAGTTTATATTGTGCCAAGGCTCTAACTAAACAATAAATTAGAGCCCACATCAAAAATTTCGGAATAAGCTTTTTAAAGTTCAAATATTTTAAAATTGATCATCTCTTCATCAAGAAGCATGGATATGAGAAAAAAATGAATTTCAAGTTTTATAAATAATGCATCTTATAATACAGTTATAGACCGTCAATTTTCAATATTTTCAAGTTTTTATAGATTTGCTCAACCTATACTATTTTGAAAGCTTTAAATTTTTATAATTAAAAATAATAATATATTTTAAGGCTGTCACAAAGATTTCCGATCTTTGAAACCACATTTGTTGATACTATTTGAAAGTACGGTGTACTTTGATTGTTTAGAACCTCAACTCCATTGAAACCGCATCCCTTTGAAAAAAGAAGCTTTCTTGCTGCCTAAGCTTTCTTCCTGCGTTACTACCCTCATATATTTTTCAAAAATATGTATATTCATCTCCTTATAATTGTAATTCTAATTCAATTAAAATTCAAGATGCAAAACCTAGAGCCTGCCCTTTGTGATATCTTTGAAAAGGAAGCTTTCTTGCTGCCTAAGCTTCCTTCCCGAGCGCTACCGCCCTCAAATATTTTTCAAAGGAAAAAAATTATATATAGCCAAGGCTCTAAACAATCAAATTAGAGCGCACCTCTAAAATTTTATTAGAAGAAGTTGTTTTGATGCCCAGATATCCTCAAATTGATCATCTTGACATCAAGATTCATGAACAAGAGAAAAAAATGGATTTCGAGTTTTGGAACTAATGCATCTTGAAATGCATTTTGGACCGTCAATTTTTAAGTTTTCATAGATCTACTCGATCTACACTATTTTTAAAGCTTTGAATTTAATAATTAGAGATAAAAATATATTTTGCAGCTATCACAATGATTTTAAGTATTGAACCTGCATTTCTCGATACTATTTAAAGGTGCGCTCTACTTTGATTGTTTAGAGCCTCCGCTCTATACAAACCACACCGGTTTTCAAAAGAACAATTGTTTCATACGGACTGGACCACATTTCTACAATATGCAGTCTAGAGGTATAACGCATCCATCTTAAAAAATGGATGCAAATAGGTGGTCCATCTAAAAATAACTATAATTAATAGTCCAATAATTGTTATTTCTAGTTAAATTTTTTTTTTTTTCATATTCATGATCTCCATGTTAACGATTTTGCAGTCTCTAAAAATTAGGATGAAATTATATTTAAAACATATATTTATTGTCAAGCCTATATATCTAGGGCTAACCGTGTCTTTTTAAAAAACATTTATATTCTTCTCTTTATTATTATTATTATTATTATTACTATTACTATAATTATTATTATTATCATTATCATTATCATTATCATTATCATTATCATTATCATTATTATTATCATCATTATTATTATCATCATCATCATCATTATTATTATTATTAATCTAATAGGTCTGACCTTGCCTGGATCAAGATTTTCAAGTTATTATGTATTATATTCAATTTAGACCAATTTTTTAGCTTAAAATTTTGTAAGAGTAGAAATAAATTTTCAACCTATAATAAATATTTTCGACACTAGAACCATATTTTTACCTTATTTTCACGCCTTACATAAAAAACACCTTTTGAAATAAGTAAAACTTTGCCCTTGTTTTTATCATCATCACACCCAGGAAACGAAGCGATAAGGCAAAGTTGATATTTTGGGTCAGTATAGGGAGTGGTTTGAAGTTGCGACTTTAAACAATCGAATGAAGGCACACCTTTAAATTTTATTATAAATGTAATTTTGGTATCAAAAGTTTTAGGGTGGCCCGATTATTTTCATCTCTAATCATAGAATTTTAAATTTTAAAAACAGTTCAAATCAAATAGATCTATGAACACATGAAAATATTAAAAACTAAACGATCTAAATAATTTGTTACAAAATAAATTAATTTTGAAACTCAAAATCTTGTTATTCGATTCTAGAATCGAATGATGCTTTTAGTGGTGACTATATAGAACAGTTAGAAAAGAAGCAGTGACAAGAACATGAAGTATCTTATTCAATAAGAAACAGTAAACATAAGCATGTGACGCGCCTGACACAACTCGTAAGGAATGACATACCCCCACACGTTTTATTATAGTGAGCGCGTAGAGAAAGTTGACTCAGACAATTTTCATTTGTACTTTTGAATCATGATGTAGTCCTGCTTGACACTACAAATAATAAAACCAAGAACTTTGAGCATGGTAAACCTCACTTTATGCTACATTTCCCTAGCTATCTTTGACCGAGATTCAACGACTTTGAACGACTATAGTCATTAGGGGTGGCAATGGGCCGGACTTGAATAGCTTTAGAGTTCAAAATTTGGATCCGTACCTAGACTTGTTGGGTCCTGAGTCTGGTTAGATCCATTGCCACATTTTGATTATGACTTTTTTTTTTTTTTTCATTTTTTTTTGCCATCATATATCCTATGACTATGAGCTTTCTTTTTTTTTTTTACCAATAATATTGTAATATTATTAATATTGTGACAATATGAATACCTAACTTGTACCTAAAGACACATGATTGCCAACATATACCCTATGACTACAAGTATGAGTCGAGCATATCTATCGGGTTTTGAGTCTAGTCGGGCCCATTGCCACCCCTAATAGTCACCAATTTTTTCGATAAATTTACTTATGTTGAAAGGAAATGTATATGAGAAGACTACTTACTTTTTATATAAGAAAATCATATTCATTATTGACCATTGCATGTGAATTCAGTTGGCTGGTCTTGTGTAATTGATCGGGTACAAAATCCAAAATACAATTCTTAAAAGTTGTAATACATTTCAATCAGTCGGATTTCAAAATGCATAGGGTCTTTTATGCTCTATGTTATAGCATTTGCGTCACCATTTTGCAATGGTGGCCAGCTTCTTTCTATGGACAACCCGTTAATGGATTTCTTTTTTTAATAAGGTTACGAGAATGTCATTAGATACTCATATAAGCAAAACAAGAAAGAAAGTAAAATCAAAGAGAGACAATGTTTTTATTAATTATCAAGGTGCTCCAATTTGGTGAGCTTGTAAGCTCCTCATATAAACCTGCACAAAGGGAGACCCCATCTATCGCGCATATCCTAGATCTCAAACCTATAACAACTTCCAAGGGATTCATTCTTATACCATTTTGTAGCATTTAGCAGATCACATATAACCATTGACCCTAATTGTTCAGCTTCTATTATTGCAACCTTTGTAAGATCCCAAAAATATTCATATTATTAGTTGTACTTAAACCACAAGGACCCCAGAAAGAAACTAGAATTTTCCCACATAGTCTCTAATCACAATACCAATAGTAAGGCCAGAATTACCATATAACTACTATCAAAATTGAGCTTAATAATATTAGCCAATGGATAGCTCATGCACAACCAAATCTCCATTTTAGAACTCCCTATTTACGCTCCAATCTGCATCGATCTCTAGGATGAGATCAACTCAAATATTTGCAAAAACATTTAATGAAAAATAGACAAAGTGGGGTCGCTTGAATTATGGGCACAGAAACGGCATGGATCTATTCAGATCCGATTCTTTCCCATGTCCACTAGTAGTGTCAGCTTCCAAATCTATGTAAATTGCTTTAAAAACATTTTGAAATGTTACGAACTAAGAAATAACACAAAATAAACTAAATTAAATTGGGAAAGTGACACTTACCTTCTAAGGACCCAGAACTCGGACTTTCATGTTTGGATCAAGCCGATCTTCTGATTTGTGCTACCATCTCCTTTTTTGGATGTCTTACGCTTGCTGAAATTGGTAGACCAATATGTCTTTCACTAAATTTAGGGTTCCTAAGGCAGGGGGAAAAGATCGGGATTTTGGTTTACCTAGGCTTCTTGGGCTTGGAAGAGGATTTCCTTGGTTTTCTAAAGTTTTGGAGTTCTTCTAAGGAAAAATCCGATTTTTGGGATTTGTGGTTTTTTTTGGGATTTTTCGGTAGTTTTCCTAATTCTCTAGGAATTTCCTAAGGCTTTTTCCTATTTTTGAGTATTTTTTTCTAATTTTTGGATTTTTTCCTATTTTCTAATGTTCTTCAGATTTTCTAATATGTTTTTGGTCTATTTTGATGAGTGTATTTATAGCTTTGAGCTAGGGTTAGGGTTGAACTTGTTCAACCTAATCTCCTAACTCAATTAGGGTAAGAATTAGGGGTCTTTTTCGTAATTTTTCTGAAATTTTTTGAAGCTAAAATGAAAAAACTTAACAAATCGGGCCGCACTTCAGCCCAATCGACAGCATGACTAATGTGATGCACGAAGCCTCCTACGGCTCGCATGACCCGTAACGCCTCGCGGGGGTCGCATCAGATTCATTTATAGGGATATTTTGGTCATTTTAGGCTTGATATTTTCGAGGCCTATATTTTTTGTTCCTTAGGTCTGATTCCAGTGATTCTTTGATAGTTGGAAAGCTCTCAAGGTCTACTACGGTTTAGGATAGTATTTGGGTAGGTTTGAGACAATTCTACTAGGTCTAGGTTGTCTATGATCTATCAAGGTTTCTATGGTCTTTTGGACTCAAAATCAAGGTTTTTAGGAATTCCCTTAGCCAGATTTCAAAGAGGTGTTTACAGTTGCCCCTCTTTGGCATTCATCTAGGGCACTAAGTGAATGGCGAAGAAGTAGACACCTGAAACAAGATGAGAAGGAAAATTTTTCTCATGGATCATTCTTTTGAATAACCAAACCCTTTAGGTCGGCTGTATGCCGGTGGATGCTTTTGATCTCTAAGACATCCAACTGGCATTTCTAT